CTGCCAACTATCCAAGCGCAAAAAACCTACCTGCCCCGACCACCATCAACCCGTAGAACTTATTGATCTCTTCCAGCGCCGGAAACTCCCCCCTAGACATATCGAATGCCTGCAATTCAAACGTGACGTACACGTCGTACGCGTCAATCGCCGCGCGGAATAGCTTCTCAAATAGACGCTTGTAGTTGCCCGAGATGCGGCCCACCTCGTGTGGCACATCGTTGGCATGCAGCAGAGCCACCAAAATGTGCACGGGCTCGGATTCAGGATAGCTGATGTCTGGAAAAGTAACTGTGGTCACCAGAGGCGCTGTGGGTGGCTGTTTGGAGGGCGAAGGAGAGGGTGCGAGGTGGGTGACCTCCTGGTCCAGATTATCAGAAGTTTTGGAGACGCTTGGATGCTCAGAGGGAGTGTGGATGGTTTGAGCAAACTCGGAGAGCATGGGCTGATAGGGCTGATAGGATTGGTACATGATGGCAGTGATGGTCGACAGGAGATCGGTTTGTCAAAAGGGAAATGTAACCTTTTACCCTTCTAGCCTTTCAAATCACGGTGGCTGTGGAGTATGACCACATGCCATTGGTAATTTGTGAGGCTGGGTGGCGTTATGCATGCATTTTATTACAATTAGCCAATTAGACCTATACTGTACATTTGTGAAACTGTATCGCAAGCGCTAAAATGTGTACATGTACCATTGTATGCCGTGAGGTTTGTAGTCACTATCATTTCCGTTTCTTTGGTGCATTCTCTTCCACCCACGCCCTCGCCCTGTCTAAATCCTCTTTCTCCACCTCCAATCCCTTCACGCACCACTCGATTGCGTACAACCCGCCTAGATTTTGCTTCAGAATTTCCGCCAGAAAACGCCGCCGCGTCGTTGTCTCGTCTACGCACAGGTGTAACGTGGGCGATTCGGAGCTAAGCGACTGCAGTGGGGTAATCAGCGGGATCAGGGTCGAGGCCGCGGTCGTGGCATCCTGTGGGTTTTTGGTGGACGTTGCGCAGTACTGATAGAGTTGATAAAGTCAAAGATATATTCAAAAGTAGTTAAGCATGAGAAGAATCGAAAAAGATGTTCGCCGATATTCGTATCATTAGTATCAGCCATCACTCCGCTCACCTTATTCCTGCACCACGCGTTCCTGCACCCCACCGTCAGTTGTGAGTGATACCTCCTCGCAACTCTCTGTATGAGCTTCATATGTCCCTTATCCTCATTCGACACCCAGAAAGGTCCGAAGCACGTCTGACATAGCCGTAGTGCGTTTGGAGGTGTTGCCGCTTGTCGCATGCAGGCAGCGTTGCTACACAGGGGTGGCGTCGTTCGGCGCTGCCGTTCATCATCATGCATACGCGCATGGAGGGATACGTCCTTTATCGGGGTCGGCTGGCCACACCGTTGACAGACGATCGTGCGCGAACCGCAATAGGACTCGTGAAAGTGCAGGCCGGCGAGGATGTCGTGAGGGGTCGTGGGGGGATCGCCTTGTGGGAGGAGGTTCTACATTATGAGAAACAAGGAGTGTAATAAATACTGTTAGGAAAGATTTTCAGTAACACACGACAAAATCGATAAGATAAAGAGCAGCTGAAACCTACATGGCAGTACCGACACACAATCAATTTATCCGGGCAAGTCGTCCGGCGATGCAACGCCAACATGGCGTATGAGTCTGCAGTGAACGTGCCGCAAGAGCATTCCCGTAATGTATGGAAGTAATTTATATGCTTATATTTTTCTGAGATGTCGCCCGCCTGAATGGTATTAATATAGAGAAATGTGAGATTACCAATAACCAAGATGATCACATGAGCATCCCAAGTAGCTCCAAAATATTACAATTAACTCAACTCCCCCCTTTCCTCTACTTAAAATAAATAAATGGAATAAAGCTCACCTTATCGCATAAGTCGCAATGCCAGTGATTCCCCATCTCTTCGCTCCCCTTCTTAAACACTCTCCCACACCTCTCGCATTTGATATTATTCCTCAGACAGAAACCTTCGTGCAGCTGCATGGTCCGTTCGGGTGTCCAACTCCCGCAGTTAGCGCACCGCGCATATCCGGGGTTGTCAGCGTTTGGGTCCACAGATGACACCGAGGAGAGGGTCTGCACGGTATAAAGATCTGAGGTCAAAGCATACGAAGCGGTCAAGATGAAGGCAGCGGGGCCACGGAAGCTGTGGACGCCTATGTGGAGGGTATTGGTAATGGCGAAGGCGGTATCGGTGGGGGGGATATGGATTTGGTGGGAAGGAGTTGTGACGAGTGAAGACCAGGTGTGCGAAGTGAGTGTTGGGTTGGGATCTGAGGAAATGACGAGATCTGTGTCAAATAAATATGGTTATGGAAAGTTAGAACACGAAAATTGGAGGGGTCTCTAAAATTGATACGAATTGCAATGTTTGCTATAGTCAGTGCAGGTCGAAATTGCCTACCAACATCGCCGCTTTCCACTGCAATCTCAACTTTTAACCCTTGTCCCTGTCCATGATCAATGTCCTTCAATCTAAAATACATGTACTCTTCCTCCCCGATCCTCCCCTTCACTGCCTCACCGACCACAAGTTCCCCCTTATTCTTCATCAGCCCACTCACTACACCTCCTCCATTCGGCATCCTCTTTGCTGCCGCTCCCACTGCCTCTGTCTCTTCCGCCAACGGCTCGATATCGACCTCCAGATCTGTATCCGTGACACATACCGCGTCCGCAGGCTTCAGCTCCTCAACCAGAAACTCGTAATGCCTGTTTCCGTGACGGACGCTCAGGATCTCCCCCTTTGTAAGAGTATTATAGTTGGCACGGAGGTGCGACTCAAACGCGGCGCGGAAGTCTAGTATGTCACGCGATCCGACGGACATTGTACGGAACCGGGCCCAAGTACCTTTGGGTAGCTCCTTGAGGCGCAGAGTAACGGAATCTCCTTCCTTGAGGTCGAGCGAGTTGAGAATCCAGGTGGGCAAGTGACAGACGCCCTCGTCAGAGGAAAACTCCTTGACACCGCCGTGGTTAATGAAGCGAGTAAGGGGGTTAATGATCTGAAAGGTGAGCGGGGATGGAAGAGAGGGTCTGGCTTGGGGAGTTGGGGAGGTGGTCCGGGTCAGGTAGGACTCAAAGGGGTCCAGGTAGGAGTCAAAGGGGTCCGGGTAGGGATGAGCGGGAGTGGTAGTGGCGGCCATGAATTCTTCGAGAACAGAGGGTGGAAGCAGGATCTTGTCGCCATCGTCGAGAGAGGCCTTTGAGGCGCCCACGCGGAGAGCCTTTGACCACGATAGCACAGACATGGGTTGTATGGTTGTATAAGGCTACGAATTGCTGCAATGTTTAGGGAAGTAGGGCGGGTTGAAAGGAGAGACAAAGGTGCCTCTCCCGCCGACCTAAAAGGAAGCTGCAATCACATGACCATTAGAAATAATTCCGAATACGTCATTTCTTCCAAGCCCTTCCAGCGACCAAGCCTCCAAGCCACCATGGGCAGCCCATACTACTTTGTCATCATCGGCTCGAAAGACAACCCCGTCTACGAGGCTGACCTGGCTCCAACCTCGAGACCTTCTTCCGCAGCAGACGGTATCAAGGTGTGCTGTGTTGCTTAGTCTTTTGTTTACAACCGCGCGTCATCTAACTACACCTTGCCGGTTTCCACTTTGCCGTAGAAAGACGAGCACAAGCACCTTAACCAGTTCATAATCCACTCGGCGCTCGATATCGTTGAGGAAATACAATGGAACACAAATGCGACGTACGCTTCGTTCTAGAAAATCATAAAATTACTCTCCGTATATTCATCTTACCTGCTGAAACAAAAAAGGGTATATAACAACCGCGAATAAATGGTCTGCCATCCAGATATCTTAAGGTCGTGGACAAATTCAATGAGTTTCTGATATCAGCATTCGTGTCTGCCGGCAGTAAGTAAACATTATCTCCTTCTTTAGTCGCCGACCCTTCCATATCCACTTCGTTCTTACCTCGGTATGGCCTTCCCCCTATTAGATACCAAATTTATGCTCCTCCACGACACAAAATCTGAGGACAGCATCAAGAATTTCTTCCAGGATGTCCATGAACTCTATCTCAAGGTAAGGACCCGCTCACTTGGCCGAGGTTCTCACCACGAGACAAACAGCTAACTCCATCCCGCGCATTTACAGGTACTCATGAACCCCTTCTACGAGTTCAACCAGCCTATCACTAATTCATATTTTGACGGCAAGGTGCGCCTAATTGCCAAGCGGTTTCTGTGAAAGGTTGGGATTGGGATTGGGGCGAATAGTTGGTTGGTTTTAATCCTTGACAAGTACTGAGGGTGCGGATCGGCTGTAATGTACTATGAGAAACAATGGAAATAATTTCGTGGCCCTATCTAAGATTGAGACCTTTGGTGGGTACGCTTGGAAAGCAACAATGTTGGACGAGCTCATAATTCCTACAACGCGGGGACGGGTCACGAGGGCTTGTTATACTTTTCCCATTCGACCTTTGCTCATCAAGAAGGCTGGTGATGATTCATTTGTGCGCTTTGCGTTTAGCTATTAACCCGCCAGTCAATCAATCAGTTTGAAGAATCTTTACTCGGCGTTATAAACACGGAACGAATGAGAATAGAAGACTTTTTTTTTTTCGTAATATTTCTATTCAGAAATCAACTGAAGATCCTTAATTGACTGGCGAGTTAATGGCTGAAAGCCCACAAATAAATCATGGTTATACCCCCTCAGCCGATGGATGATAAGATTCGAACTGAGCTTGAACCCATTCAGAGTACTTAGTGCAATTATCTAAAATACCTGACAGAGTCCATTCTCATCAGCCTTGTGAAAGCCACCCCATGACAATTTCAACTTTATTTTTATTTTTCGTATATTATGGTCGCCAACAGGATTAAAAAAAAAAAAAATCACAACCGTTAATTACTATACATTGAAGATAATGATAATAATTTATATAAAGTTAAAATAGAAATAAAAGTAATATAGACCTCACAATGAGAATGGACCTTTAGCTCAGTGGCAGAGCGGGCGACTGCAGATCGCCAGGTCGTTGGTTCAACTCCGACAGGGTCCTCTAATTTTGACTTTTTTTTTATATTGCATACATTAATTAGTAAGCCGATTGCCTTACTATTAAAGTTTCTCGTTGTAGGTCAAGTATGATTGATAATCGTGATACAACTATCAGTAGTTTCTTTATTGCTTTTTGCAATTGGGAACCGTTCCACGAGATTCCTCGCCTCGGGACCCATTGATTTATTTTATTTTATTTTATTTTTTTTGGTCAATGGATGGATCCATCTTGTTAGAAGGAGATGTAAGAATTATGAAGATTATGCTTCTTATAATCCTTTGCACTTTCTCTCTTCCTCCGTCCCTCACACCTTGCAGGGAACAAGATATCGAGGAACTCGGGATCCCTTATAAGGTCCGTAAGGTCTCTTTTTCCGCCAACGAGCAAAAGTCTGACCGGTTCCTCAGGATCAATCCCAATGGACGCGTTCCAGCCATCACGGACCACTCGCGGAACAACCTCAATGTGTTTGAGAGCGGCGCTATCATGTTTTATCTCGTAGAAGGGAGTATCATTGGGAATGGAACGCGCGACATATCTAAATTTCTTAAGCTGGTCATTCATTCTGACAGCTTGGATTTTAAACACGTGTCTCAATAGCACAATGACCCGGAAAACAAATTGTGGCCTAAAGACTCCGATGCAAGGTCGGAAACCATGCAAGGTCGGAAACCATGCAATGGGTAAGTGGTGATTGGTTGCATCCATGCCCCCACTCTTACCGTTTGCTCGCTTTCTCTTTCCACCAGGATCTGTTTCCATGAATGGGCTGGTGTCTCGATTGACGGCCTTCCCCACCTAAACGCCTGGCTTGAACAGATTGAAGGCTGCGGTTGGCATGTGAGACCGGGCCTGTCGAGCGAACATGGTCGGATTTTAGTCGTTTTAGAAAGAAACTTTGACATCCCTTATTTGCTACATTAATACACCTATAAATAAATAAATAAAAAAATAAAAAAAGAACAAGAAAGAGAGCCAGAGAAGTGCTGATATCATTGTAGTTTAGCATGCACATGTGTGAATATGTTCGGGCTAGCTAACATAACCAACATGAATAACTGGTGGCGCTTTCAGCCAAAGGTGTCAACCCACAGCTTTTTGGCCAACGCCTCTCATTGCTTTCAAGGTACGAGGTTGCTCGGCTCTGTCGACCTGAAGTTGTAATAGAGCATTCCGTATATATATATATATATATATATTTTGCACCTCGATCTCTAGCAGGAGATCTCAGTCTTAATCCAATCTGTGGTTTGAGTCTTTTTTGCAGTTGTGCTCGGACAAATGCAATCAAAATTATAATTCAAATACCAAAGACTGTCACAACATTCGCGGCTTTATATTTTCTATTCGTATATAATTTTTGCACATAGAATTCCATAGTTAAGACAAAATATAAATAAATAAAGGTATATAAGAGAAAAAGGTATAAATACATGATGCTAGATGCCCTCTAAAAAGATATAAACATATATTGTTTGAGGGTTCAGGGAGCCAGAAGGATGCAAATCCGAGAGCTGCGAAAAACCACAAGCGGAACGCATCCATCTCACCATGCTGCAGGTATCTGCAACGTCGTTTCTAACAGAACCCTCCCTTTAAATAACCGTTGCGCAACCCCACCTCTTCTATACAACCGTAACGCGATCTCAAGATCCATGCATCCCTTCATAACCATTATGTTACCTCAACATCCTTTTCTTCCTCCCTCGCCCTCTTCCTCGAGACAGGCTCATACCAGTCAGTCAATAGCGTCTGATGCTGACCAGCGCCGACGGTGGCGGCCATTACGGTGGCGACGGGGGTTGCGTCCTGTTGCTGTTTCGTATCTAAGCTAATGTTTGCATTCACGATGGCAGCGGCAGGGGTGGTGGCGATAACCATAGATTGTGGCTGCTGCGGTTTTGGGCCGGTTTTGTAGCCTTCTGAGACGGCTGGAGCGTTTAAAAAGAGGAATGGGTGGTGACGCTGAGTGGCAGTAGTCATACCGCAGGATGGCTGGTCTCCTTTCAACCAAGACACTATCACCCGCTGTCTCATGAATGAGTTTCCTTACCTTTCCTCACCCTCATCCCCATAGAGATGAATACGGCACGCTGCTGGTCGCTGTAGTAATGGCTATGTTCAGGAACCCATGAAGGGTTGCGACCCATCTTTTTGGTGTCGTCCATTGTGTAGGGGGCGGGCGGGGCGGTCGAGGAATCATAAGTGTCTGAGAAGTAGTCACGAGTGTCTGCTGTGTCATAGATGTAGAGATATCACAGGTGGCGTTGGATGCTATGTGAGGATGGCCTGTTTAACAAAGTAAGGGCCAACCGTGACATATAATAGCCATTGGATCACCCTTTAATAATAATAATAACACCACTAGTAATAATGTGACTCTAGGAGAGAAAAAAAACGAGACAAAAGGATTTTTGATTTATTTAATTATCTAGAGCGACTATTCTTATACACTTTGGCATATACAATTCCACAAGTCATTAGTGGCGTATCAAACGCTCGATTCTGATGACGCACACTTAAAAAAAAAAAAAAAAGTAGTATAATGTGAGCGAGAAGTTGTAAATGTGCTAAGCAAATTCTAGATGTTCACAGTGATTATGGTAAGAAGGAAAACAGCAACAGCAACAAACAACAACAACAACAAAACACGGCCATTATATTATTATTACAGAAATTTTAAAAAAACGCACGAGTACGAGATGTCTAGATTCCAAATACTTGAGAGGTATTTGAACCGAATCTTTGACGTTTACCGATCTCGTTTAATTATCACTCTACAAGATCACAAGTGGCAAGTCCCTCGCAACCCTCGGTCAGAGACATCAACGAACCCGAACCCCTGCATTATCACGTTGCCGACCCAGCCACTGAACCTTCACGTTCTGACTCCCTTCCCTTCCCTTTATCCAGCCTTCGCCGCCTCCAGTGTAGGTAAGCGAGCGAGTGGACGGGCCGCTGGAGGGGCGTAACATCCATGGGTGGGCTCGCAAACCATTGGAGCTTATTGTCAGGGGAAGTAGTAAAGCGGGTAACTAGTATTATGATATGTGAGAGAGAAAATTTGGAACGAATTGGTTAGCCAGGGAGCTTGAATAAATGTGACCAAGGTAAACGAAATAGCACTCACCAACATTCTCGGCGAGTTCCACTGGCTTCTGCTGCCGGTGATGGCTCTCCTGCGCTGGCGTTGCAGCGGTAGGATCGTATGGTGCACTGCTGCTCTGCATGGTGCCGTGCCGAGACGACAACGGCGCTGGCGTGGCGGTGTGGGGAACATTAGCCATCGCTTGGTGCTGGGGGGTGTACGGTTGTCCTGGGGTAAACTGCATGGGTTGTGGTGGAGCTGACATCATGTAGACATGTGAGGAGGGATGAGTCGGAGAGAGGGTCTGGTAGGAAGATGGGATGCCAGCGGACTGGTAAGGAAAGTAGGATTGTGGTGTCTGGAATGGCTGTTGGTGATGGGATGGGGAAGAGGATGATGTAGGTTGAGCGGACTTGACTGGAGTGCGAGGTTGCTGCTGCTGTTGCTGCTGTTGCTGCTGCTGCTGGTGTTGCTGTTGCTGTTGTTGCAGCTGGTCTCTCGGAGGAAGGCGTTGGCGAGTGGAACGCCTTGGAGGAGAGGCTTCGTTTGACATGGCGAGTGTTATGCAAAGAAAAAAAACGCGTGTTGGCGCTTTTAGACCTCGTGCTGACGTCATCCTTGCCAGCCCCAGTCGCACAAACACCCGCCACACCTCTGAACGTGACAAAAAAGACCTCCTTGTCCCATCAAAAATCACAAATACAATGGTAAGCCCGAGCGTCCATCATTTCCGTCTCCGAATCCCGTAGCTACCGATTCCCCCCCCATAACACAATACACCTTCTGCCCCCGCAGGACCCGCAAACCTCCCAGCAGTACGACTGCGCGCTCGATCTGATGCGCCGCCTCCCTCCGCAGAACACCGAAGAGAACCTCGCCAAGCTGATCGACGTCGTTCCGCACCTGACTGAGGAAGTGCTCAGCGCTGTTGACCAACCTCTCAAGGTTAGGAGATGCAACCAGTCTGGAAAGGACTACCTGATTTGCGAGTATAACCGCGATGCGGACTCGTACAGGTATGATTTTGTAGACTTGTTTTTGATATGCCTTGGCGGGGAGGGGAAGAGAAAGGAGTTTGACTTGTGAGCATCGCATAGATATTAGCTAATAACAAGAGGAGGGAAGGCAGCCTTGAGAATAGCGTGTCTAGCTGATAGAGGAACAATGGTTTGCGGCTCCATGTGCTTATCTTGCTCAGATCCAAAGAGTGTGACACCTCAAACATTACTTTGTCGGATGCTTTAGTTAAAGCCACGCGTCCAGGGATCATTAGATTAATATATCGTCCTAATCGGTGTGCATATTATATATATCTCCTAATTCTAACGCGCAAAAGTACCGCATCAAAAAATTAGATCCCCTTGGTCGAACGAGTTCGATCCGGAGCTTCCCGAAGCTTTGACCCCACCACCAAAGCTGCGTAAGCTCGAAATCCAGGCCAACGAGGCGTTTGATACTTATCGCGAAATGTATGTCTACCAGTAATCTATGATGGCAGTTGAATACTTCCAATTTTATAAGTGAACATCATGGCGAGCCCTCTTGTCAATTCGGTCGCTTGTTTCTGTACCCTCCGTAGGTACTTTGAGGGCGGTGTCTCATCCGTCTACCTGTGGGAGCCCTCGGAAGGTGGTGCTGACGGGTTCGCTGGAATTATCCTGATAAAGAAGGGTGCGTTTCCGTCAAAGTGTGGATAAATAGAATCGCTGCTTTGCGAGTTTCACTTTTTTATTTACGATTCTATGTATCTGCCCTCCAAATTCCCATCTGCCCCCCATCTCTCAGTCGGCGAGGGCGTACATAAAATGAAGGGCGCCTGGGACTCGATTCATGTCTTTGAGGCCCAAGAGCGTGCGCGTAACGGTCACTACAAACTTACCTCGACCGTTATGCTGTACATGCTTACCAACAA